TTGGACTTGGATGATCAGACCTCCAACCTGGGCTACATGAAGATCAACACGCTGAAGGTGTTCGGATACAGCATGCACTTTGACCCTGAGGGCATCAAGGATCTGATTCTCCAGTTGGACTACCCCTACACACAGGGTACGCAGGACGCCGCCTTTCTGATGTTACTGGAGATGAGAGACCGGATTAATCGGCTATCTCCACCAGCACCACAGCCATTAGATCTGTTTTCTTGTCTCCTGCGCCACCGCCTCAAGCTGTCAGCCGGAGAGGTGGCACGAATCAAGGACTCTCTGCAGATCTTCAACTCCAAGCTTCCCAATGCTTCACCTGAACCTGAGCTGGCCCAGCTCTGTAGCTAGCTAGTTTAGCACAATCGCCAGGTTCAGGAATGATGCTGTTCATAGAAAGAGGAATTGCTACTTCAGGGACGACCCTACTGAGATGGCCTTTGGACCCGAATCATCTGGATTAACGTACTCTGAAGAAGGTTGAATGCTTGGCCTTTTTATGGTCACTCTCAGTTGGTTTTCTGGTGTTTTACCTTTGACAAACAGCATCATGTCCTTGACTTTTCGGAGAACGAGGGACACTTTGACTCTGTTTAGGAGGCTGTACTGAACCCGCCCGGAGGTTCACTTTTGCTATTACTGCCCTGCAAACTGCGTAACTGGACAAGGCTAAAAAGGTTTCTTTCACTGACAAGTTTTTGTGATTTGGAACAATAAAAAGAAGAACACACATAAGACACCTGCCTTGCAAAGACAAACGCGGTTTTCTTATAAGAGGAACTCTTCAGAGGTCTTCAAAAAATTAGCGGAAGAGGATTTCCCCTTTTCTAACCCTATTTTCTTTGGCTACAGAACAATCTTGAGGGAAGGGAAAATGGGATAATTATATATATGTGGTGAATGAGTTGTTATGTTATGCTTAACAGTTTAAAATTTGATAACCTTGAACCCTGTCACTGTCTTTGAATATTTCTTTTTAAACCCTACCTTCCATTTTATCTGGCATTTGAAAACTTGTATCTATGCTTAACATCTGAGTGAGAAGCCTGTTAGTGATGTTCTGTCCTTGGTGGCTTGTCTGTACCAAAAGAAGGTAACACATTGGCAATTTGAATGGCAAACTATCGTAAATGTTGAGTTATTATTCTTTCACTTTTGAGCTGAAATAATTCATAATGGAACCTTCAGATGTGGTAACAAAAAGGTCTGCGGATATAGCGCTGTAAATAACGCTCCATCTAACCCAGGTTGTGGACAAGTGCACATTGCTTTTTAGATAACTGAGTTCAAAGACCAAAAAAATGTTTATAACAAAACAAACTCATGCCTTATATGGAGAGTCAATGTTAAGGTAAGAAGCACATTTAGTTTCCGTGTTTGGTTTCCCTGCGAAGGTTGTATTGCTTTTTATATTTCAATATTTCTACCAAGACAGAACAACAGACGCATTCTCCAGAGTACGTGGTAATGTAGCTTTTTCATGTAAATGCCAGTCACTCGTTCTGCAGGTACTTGTTTTGATTTGGTGTTGTGAAACTTTTGAATCACCATTCACAGTGCACACCAGTACATGCATAATGTAATTGTTCTGCAAAATCCTCCAATGAGATAAACTTTCAGTAAATAATAGAATATGGTTGAATTTATGGTTTTAAAAGGTTTTCAGTGGTTCGGTTAGTCTCAGGTCTATGAAACTTTTTTTTTGTGACATATGGGTCCAATGTGAGCTGCAGTTACCACGGCAACTGGAGTAACAAGGTTTCTGCGGGGCGGTGATGGTACAAACTTAACCAGGATGATACTTGATATGATTTTACATTTGCTTCACTAATTTCTCACTGAAAGTTAGAAAACCTTGTATGTCATTATCAACAGTTCTTCTGTGCTCAGCTTGCTTAAGTAAAAACAAAGTGATTTATCTATCTGAGAGCCTTTTCCTTGTTTACAAAACTTTTTTCTGTTATATAGCATTATTGCCATATTACCTCTTTGCCTGCATGTTATAACGTCGTCTTTGGTCAATTCAAAGACATATTGATAAGATTAGCTGTGAAGATGGTGTCATGGAAAAGTGCAATGATGGTGGCGGATGTGGTCAGAGCTACAGGAATAGTGGTAGTAAGAGGAGGGGGTGACACAAGACCGTCTCATCTTACCACCACTAGCTGTTCATTGTTCTAGTGTAATTCAATTCAATTCAATTTTATTTATATAGCGCCAAATCACAACAAAAGTCACCTCAAGGTGCTTCATAGATACAGAGAAAAACCCAACAATCATATGACCCCCTATGAGCAAGCACTTTGACAGTGGGAAGGAAAAACTCCCTTTTAGCAGGAAGAAACCTCCGGCAGAACCAGGCTCAGGGAGGGGCGGCCATCTGCTGCGACCGGTTGGGGTGAGAGAAGGAAGACAGGATAAAGACATGCTGTGGAAGAGAGACAGAGGTTAATAACAGGTATGATTCAATACAGAGAGGTCTATTAACACATAGTGAGTGAGAAAGGTGACTGGAAAGGAAAAACTCAATGCATCATGGGAATCCCCCGGCAGCCTACGTCTATTGCAGCATAACTAAGGGAGGATTCAGGGTCACCTGGTCCAGCCCTAACTATATGCTTTAGCAAAAAGGAAAGTTTGAAGCCTAATCTTAAAAGTAGAGATAGTGTCTGTCTCCCGAATCCAAACTGGAAGCTGGTTCCACAGAAGAGGGGCCTGAAAACTGAAGGCTCTGCCTCCCATTCTACTTTTAAATACTCTAGGAACAACAGTGTTAGTGTAACAGATCTGTTGTTAAGTAATTTCTTGTTAAGTACATGTGTCACACTATCACTATTGCATACGCTATATTAGTTGTTTCTGTTTCCGGTCCACCTAATGGGTGCCAGGCAGAATTATGAACCTGGAAAAATGGGAAACGAATCAAAAAGAACCAAAACAAATTCAGTCATTTATTTTGTTTTCATGTCCTTACTGAAACCATTTGACTAATTTGCAGCTGTTTTTATGCCAGATATGCTGGTTAGAAACCAGCCTTGCATAAACATTTAGACTTTTTCAACATGTTTGATAATATTTGCAGCTTTTGACGGTGGAATTATAAATCAGGTCACCATGCTGCAGTTTCCAACTAAGTTAAAGGCAGGTAATGCATTTTCTGTGGATCAATTTTTCAAATGAAGAGGAGAATTCTTGTGCATCTACAGGGAGGCAAAAGGAAGAAGCGGTAACAGGTCAAATATCTCAGTCTCAAAGCCAAGTAAATTATCAGCAACTAAGTGATGTTGTTAGACTTTAAAATTATTGTTGCTAGTTTGTGCACTAATCTTATAGTACAGTCTTATACCCTTTTTACATATTTAGTCAGCTGTTGCCTGCATGTAACTACCAATTACAGCGACTGGAAAGAAGCCAGTCAAAGCCAAACAGAACAGGTTAATCTGATCTAACTCTAACCTTTTGGTTTTACAAGAAAAAATTAAAAATTAAGAACAGGATTAACTGCATTAAATGCCCTGCCTCAGAGGCTCATTTATGGGAAGTTAGAGACAAGAGTGAAAGATAAAAATGTGCATTTTACAGTAACATTCTGTTAGTATGGTTCAATTCATTCAATTTAGAACATTACTATATTTTTACCGGGTGATGCTATAAAACTAGTGATGAAGGAATTTCTATTGTATTTTCTCCAAAATTGTTGCTATTTCAAAAGTAAATATCTATTGAGTCTGCAGGTGTGTAATTTCACTTGGTGATGCTGTTCTTTCAGTCACTGTCCACAGTTCATGCAAACAAATATGCTACTATAACTACAGTTAAATGGAAGCACTCAATATTTTAAAACATACTACTAACACAGACCCTTATTCACTAATATGTGAATAGAAATGTTCTCACTGTGTCCACAAAATAAAAGCACAGAGGAAATTATCATTGGATTCATGAAACAGGTTGATAATGGAGAGGGTGAAGAAAAACAGCTGGAAGACAATGGCAACCACATCTGTCAGCTAAAGGTTAGGAAACTCATTGCAAATATAAGAAAACACGAGTAAGTGGAAGATTGCAGAGAAATTAGACTGTTAATGAATTTTCAACCAATATGTTGAAGATTTGTTGGTGTGTTTGGGATCATTGTCCAGTTGCATGACCCAATGTCAGCAAAGCTATGGATAGATGGCTGTACATTTGATTCTAGAACACTACGAATGCTTGAATATTAATGGTATACAAAGGAGTTGATGCCAACTCAATGACTGCAGGGTATCCAGGTCCTATAGCTGTGAAACAGCCCCAGCTCACCCCTCCACCACTGACAGCTGGTATAAGGCATTTGACAAAAATCAAACACAACACATTAGTACAAACTTGGAGCTGTGCATTATCAACAAACATTTTGACTTCGGTCTCATCCATCCAAGGGACATTGTTCCAGAAGTGGTTTCTTCAACACCTTTCCAAACCTTTCCAACACCAGGCTGCCATGTTATTTTTAGAGATAAGAAGCTTTTTTTGGGTAACCTTTCCACATCAGTCATATTTGTTGCATCTTTTTCTAATTATACTGTCATGAACTGTAACATTTAACATGCTAACTGATGCCTGTAGACTCTGAAATGTAACTCTTGGGTTTTCTGCAACATTCTCTGAGGATTGCAGAGTCTGCAGTTTGGTCTATAACGTAATACTACTACTAATAATAATGGATTGCATTTATATAGCGCTTTTCAAGACCCTCAAAACGCTTTACATTACAATTCCACTATTCATTCACTCTCAATTGCACACACTGGTGGAGGCAGCTACAGTTGTAGCCACAGCTGCCCTGGGGCAGACTGACAGAAGCGAGGCTGCCGTATCGCGCCCTTCTGGCCAACACCAGTAGGCGGTAGGTGAAGTGTCTTGCCCAAGGACACAACGACCAAGACAGACAGAGCTGGGGATCAAACGGGCAACCTTCCGGTTACAAGATGATTTGAAAATGTCCCTTTTACCCATCCCAGATTGATTAAAGTCATTTCAGTTTTATTCATATACTGGTAAATCACAACAATAGTCATCTAAAAGCACTTTTTATTATAAAGATAAAACCTTAGAATAATACAGACAAAACCCCAACAATCAGACAATCCCCTGTGAGGAAGCACTTGGTGACAGTGGGAAGAAAAAACATACCTTTTTAACAGGAAGAAACCTCCGGCATAACCAGGCTTAGGGAGGGTCAGACATCTGTTGCAATAAGTTGGGCCTGAGGGGAGAAGAAGAGAGCAGAGAGGTACAGTACAAAGGACAAAGTGTAGAAGAGAGCCCAGAGTTAAATAATAACTGATTAAATGCAAAGTGGTGTATAAACACACAGAAAGTGAAAAGAGGTCAGAGAAAAAGAAATGCTCAGCGCATCATCGGAAGGCCCCAGAATTCTACGACAGCCCTAACTATCAGCTTTATCAAAAACGAACGTTTTAAGGCAAATCTTAAATGTGTAGAGGGTGTCAGTCTTCCAATGAGAGGCCTGAAAACCTAAAGCTCTGTCCCCATCCTAGTTTTAATTATGTTAGGAACCACAAGCAGGCTAGCAGTTTGAGAGTGAAATGGCCTGTCAGGGTGATATAGTACTATGACTTAGTGACTAATTTAAGATGTGATCAGGCCGGTTTATTCGAGACGTTGTATGTGAAGAGAAGAATTCTTCCACTCTGGGTTTAACTGGGAACCAATCAAAGGAAGATAATTTGGGAGAAATATGGTTTCTTTCTAGTCCCTGTCATCACTGCAACATGCTGGATCAAGTGAAGGCTTTTTAGGAAGTTGGTCAAAAATGACTCCAAGATTTCTCAAAGCGTTACTGGTGGTTAAGGTAATGCCATCCAGAGTAAGTATGTGGTTTGTCACCAAGCTTTTAAAAGATTTTTAAGGCTGAGAACAATAACTTCAGTTTATGTGACTTTAGAAGTAGGGAATTAAAGGTCCTCCAGGCTTTAAGACGGGGGTCTCAAACTCACGGCCCGGGGACCACCTTGACTCACATCACCCCTACTTGCGGCCCATATATTGACGTGAAGAAATATAATGCAGTTTGGCACTTGAGGATTTGTTTGTTGTTGTTGCAAAAGTAGAAATTGAATCTAATAGACATATTGCTACTTAAGTAATAACAAAGTGGTTTATCGCTTTGAGGACCTTTTTGTGTTGATTAAGAAGTAACATATTAGCAATAAAGTATTATACAGATAAGACTGTCTTTAGCTTTTCCAACACATATTGGTGAGATTCACTACGAAAATGTTGAAGTGAAGTATGAAGAGGTCTGACTGAACTAGACATCTAATACAAAATACAATCTAATACAAAGAGGGTAAAACATTTTTAAAACGTTATAGTCCTACATTCTTAAATTCGTAATTGGTATTTTCATGTTTCCTGTTCAACAACCAG